TTATGGGTTAGAGTCCTTTTGCCCTTAGTCTAACCGTGGGAGGTTTTCGTGTTCTTCCTCTCAATGTAGCGCATATGCGGGTTGGTTCCATCAAGAAGTCCTCCACGAAGGTAAATTTTTCCCAATACTTGATCCAGGAGTTCCCTTGTTTTCTGGATTGGATACAAAATTACAAGGTTACGGTTGTTGCTGATTTACGTCGCACTAGAGCTGCACAATGGGCTATTGGTGACGGTCTGGGAAACATCCCTGAGGATGATCCGAAGACATGCCATCACAATTTACAAGGTTACGGATTTAAACATTAGCAGTAGTAAACATAAAAATTGGATCGGCTGTTCAACGACAGTTATAAAATAAAATATAAAGTAGTAACAATCTTAATTTATCTAAATCTTAAACTAATTCTTAGAAAATATAAGATCTGANATAGAAGTAGTAGTAGCACTACATTTAAGTCGGAGCCTTGGTGGCTCAGAGGGTTTCCCGGGCTCTGTGACCCGGGTTCAAATCACAGCGATGGCTGGTCTATACGAATTCCGCATCCGGCTTGCACCGACCATAGTGCTGATGTGAAATATCCTGAGTGGTAGACGGATTATGGGTTAGAGTCCTCTTGCCCTTAGTCTAACCATGGGAGGTTTTCGTGTTCTTCCTCTCAATGCAACGCATATGCGGGTTAGTTCCATCAAGAAGTCCTCCACAAAGGCAAATTTTTCCCAATACTTGATCCAGGATATCCCTTGTTTTCTGGATTGGATACAAAATTACAAGGCTACAGATTTGAACATTAGCAGTAGTAAACATAAAAATTGGATCGGCTGTTCAACGACGGTTATAAAAAAAATAAAAAGTAGTAACAATCTTAATTTATCAAAATCTTAAACTAATTCTTAGAAAATATAAGGTCTGATTGTATCGCAGAAAACAGGGCTAAATCCAAAGTATTGATTCCACAAGTGACACAAGAGCGAACGCCATTGCTTTTAAGGACATAATCTAGTTATATCATCTGCTCTGATCATGAAAGATGTTTTCACCTCAGCTCTCACTGGGTGCTTTCCTATCGATCTAACCATCATTTCACCAGTGAGGCACGAATTCCTCCTTCTATCGAACCCTCACTTGTCCCTCTCCCCTTGGTGAACATTTTGTTCCCTGAAGAAAGGAATCTTTTCTTTTCATCTTTCACGACTTCATTTAAGAAAGCTTTCTTAGTCACCCGTGCAAAGAACGAGACATAAAAAAAAGGAAAAAAATCATTCCCACGAAATCGAAAAGAATTCTTTGGTAGATTTTCGTTTCAAAAAACTCAAATACAGCTTGTTAGAATGGGAGAGATTTCTGGTTTTTAAACGCAGAACTGAGATGAGATATTTATAGGGATTTTTCTGATTTTACCATAGGGAATTTACAACATATGTTTCTTTAAGATCTTCATGACATAACTGTGAAGAGTTTTAAAGTTAAAAAAAAATTTTTTTTTTTTTTGCGTTCTTACTCGTGATTTCTTTAGAAGCAAGTCGAAAAAAGATGCTTATTTTATATCAGATTTGTTTGTGAAGTAAAGTTAGAAGTGTAAGTTTATAAAAAAAATATTGAAATTCCCACTAGCTTTATTGTACGAGGCAACGCAATCAAATATACTCATTATATTTATATTTTGAAATGCCGTGAAAATTCTATGTGTGGTAATCAAATGGAAAACATGTAAAATAATTAAACGTAATCAAAAGAATTTTTGAAAAGACCAGTTTCGGTTTTTCAACGAAAACATGCTAATTGGATTAAAATATCAGAAGTTAATACTATTAATAGAGTGTTTGATGTTTTTTTTTTAAGAGGCTATATCGCGGGAGAATTTTTTCGTGGCAAATTCACTTTTATCTGCACGAGTAATTTGAAATTTAGAGTAATTTTAATCAAGAGTAAACCATGAAATTTCAAATGCAAGAAAAAAAATTTTTAAAAAATCTAAATATCAGAATACAAAAAAATTATGGAAGGATTATGCAGAATTATACAGAGAGGAAGTTCGTCGATAAACTACTGAATAAACTGAAATATGGTTTTCGTCAAAATAAAACGAAAAATGGCGAAAATAAATATCGAGAATGGTTATCAGAGAAACATACTACTTCATTCTTATTTTTATTTGATGAAAATACTGATGCAAATTTTCATAACTGCATATCATTTTCATTATTCATTCAATACATTAATATTAAAAAAAAATCATTTTTGTAATTATACTTTTCTTTCTTCACAAGCATTTTATTAAATAATTTCGTAAAAGTAACACAAATGTTTAATAGGACCGGGATAGCCTGGTCGGTAGGGCGTTGGGCCCATGTCCGAGAGTTCGAACTCCGCCGGCCGAAAACTTCCTGTGTAGTAAATAGTGACTGATTCACGTTAAATCTGTCGAGTCGCAAAGTCCTCCATGTGGGTGGTACTGAATTGGACATTGATCGTTCTCTGATTCAGGTAAAAATTACGATCTGTGGATGAATGAATGAATGGATGTATGAATGGGTTCACCCTTTAAATGGGTGTGACGTATGGGTGTGGAAGACGTCGAATTATTGGCCATAGATAACGCCACTGTAAAACAAGAAAAATCGCCTTTACAGACATACGAAAGCAAGCAAATGTTTAAAGAATAATTTATTGAAAGGAATTTAATGACAGGTTTCGAAACTTAGTAACTGATTAAAAATACCCTAACTCTCGGAACCCCTGTGACCCTTTCACGGAACCCTAGGGTTCCTCGGAACACCATTTGGGAATTTCAGATTTGATAAAAAAAATTTCCCCTCAACTATGCAGCGTATTCCCTTTCCAGTCATACGCAAGAAATACTTTTACATAAAGCTTTACCGTTTGAAAATTTATATTAAATGGAGCTATCAAAAGAGAGCGGTGTCTGATTTTCCTTCCCCCTGTGCATCAAGAAGATAAAATTGTAATAAACTTCGACCCACATTTGTTCAATAAAATGAAATATTCAAAGTCAAAACTGTCATTAAGAAACAGCAAACATTTGGACCCATTCCCAAAAGTCTGACAGTTGAAGTATAGTTTGAAAGAGAAGGGGAGGGATAAAAAGTTTCCCTTTAGTGGAAGCAGTATCTTAGTTTCATTTGCCAAGAAAGCATTCATAAATTACTAGTAATTTTAACGATAAGAACAGAGGGAAAAAATAATTTCCCAGGATGCTTTCTTAGAGAGAAGGGAAAAAGTGTCATATAAAATTCAATTTCCCAGGGCGCTCATATATTTAGAATTTATATTAAAAAGAAATAGGTTACGTGATGTAATGAAGCGATTTAAAAGAGCTCTTTTCTTTTTGACAAAGAAACTTTGTTGTATTTAAGTTTTCCGAATCGTTTGACTAAAAAGACATATTTGCAAACAATTTATATTATTCATAAAACAAACACCACTATTATTTAGATTGAAATTTGTACCTGAAGATAAAACTGCTTTTTGTAGAACTTTTGCATATTAGAGGTACTGCGTTCCTTCCATAATTCCGTCCCAGAGTTCACCTCAAGTGTGCTTACTAGTTAGAGCAGACGATAAATGATCGCAGAACGTAGTAACAAAACAGCTACTTTCTGGATAAAACTATATTTAGAATGAATTAATTTCATGAATCGATGGAAAAATAATTTGATTTGCAAAATAAATTTCAGAAATATTCAACCCATTTTGTCAGTGATATGACTTTTTCTGTGAACTAACAATAATGATAGACAATTACGGGACTTTTCACATTATAAATAGGATAAGGAATGGTTCAAAATTCAGGCTCTTAAAAATTTTCCGCAATTTATACAAAAAAGGAAAAATAAAAATTACGACTTTAATTAGTCTATCTCTTAGAAGAATCAAAAATTCGTTTTTAAATAATTATGAATACGTGAAAAAAAATTACGTCAAAAAATGATATGTAGACAAGTTATTTATAATGTTTTGTCTTTAAAACTTAGCTTTAACATTATATTTTTGCTGTTTTGTTAGATAATTCTCCTAATTTAACCCCATGACGTAGATGGGAGACCAGTGTCCCTTTTATATATTTTTTGCTGAGGCTCTAATGACAAGCAAATATGTATTTTGATACTTTTTGATTACTAAAAGCAGTTTGATGGTTTCAAAAAAAAATCTGTTAGATTATGGTAATTATATTTGTATTAAATTATAAAAATCTAAACAAAAAGTAGTTTGAAAAAGTTTTTTTTTTATTCCTATTCAAAATTTATCTACAATTGATTTTGTAAATTAAAGGAATTTCAATGATGAATAATTATAAAACTCGATCTAAACAAGTGCAAATTTGAAAAATTATTGTTTGGAAATGAACCGTGTTTAGAAGATTTTACCTTTAACGCAGAAAAAATACAGGTGTGCTGTGTTTCATAACTATAAATTATTAAAATGCTAAATTTAACATTTTCCCCTTATTTTGAGTCAAATTAAGGCAAAATAATTTTAAAAAAATATGATAAAATGTTCTAAAAAAATAATACATATGTTTAAAAAAATTATGCGTCAAAGAGTAAAGAGTATAAATTTCGATGAGCAGATGTTAGAAGATTCAACGTGTATTTTATTTCTTTTTTTATTCATTTGTATATTGAGAAACAGACTTTCATTTTAAAAACTTGTGGCAATAGTTCACTCATGTGATAGTTTTAACAAAGTTTCTCAACCATCCATTTAGAAGGCATTGACACAAATAATAAAAATAAAATCAGGTGTTAGATGTCATTTATGGTTTATAAAACTGGCATTTAGTAAAGAGCACAATGTGGTATCGTTGAGAAGTAGCTGATACAAGAAGAAAAATATCGATTTCTTTATGCATGAATTCCCTCAAAATTATTTTTCTTAATAACTGGTTCATTTCAACAACTTTGAGGTTATAAATCTCAATATGTCTTGTGGAAAATATAGCATGAAAAATCAAAGGCAAAATAAAAAAGAAACCAATGAAAACTAAAATAAAGCTTTATTTTGATCAAAAAGAAATAAGATTTTTAATTTAAAACAAAAAATACTTTTCTTTAAAAATATTATATTGCATTTTATAAATAAAATTTACATAATATATTATTTTTTTGCAGTAGGAACAAAAAATGAAAACATGCAAAAAAACGAGCAATGTGCTCCAAGCTGATTTAACATAAAATGATATTTACAAATAATAATTTTGAAACTGAAACAATAGTGAGAAAATTGACTTCTGATAAATTGACATTTATAGCGGTTTCTAGAACATTTTTTTTTTGACAAAATGCCATACATGCATGTCGAATACATTAAGATAAATTTAGTGAAGACCATAAAATGTAGGAAAAAAAAGAGTGTTTGTTCATTTAGCTCTAAAATACATAGTTGCTATGGAAACAAGAGTGATTTTTATCAACCAATTTGATAAAATATTGACTGACCTTAACCCCATATTTCAGAACTGTCGGAATAAAAGATTAATGCTATTATCTAATCAAATAAACGCTTTTTTGATAAGGGGGAAAATTAAATGTAAATATAAAAGACATATAAAAACAGAGACTTGTAAGGCTATAAGCTAATTATAGTCCAGTCATTTAAATTTTAAAATAACCATTTAGTTTTTAAAATAAATCATTATCCAAGCTTAGCATTTTCGTAATGAAATAAAAAAGTCCAAAACAAAACCTGTCCCAATTATATTTCTCAAGCCTCATCCTAAATTAACTTTAGGTAGCCGAGATTTATATTTACTCCATTTCCAACCAACAATCATTTTCTGGGAACAAACTATTTAAAAACTAATTATAATTTTTGGACTTTTTATTTAAAGGATAAAAATATTAAAATGTAGTTTTAAAACAAGTCATTCAATATGATAAGAAATCAGTTCATTTTTATTTCATTTTATTTGTTTATTTATTTTTTACAAATCACTATAAACTATTTTATCAGAAGTCCAACAGAAAACCTTAGCATTTTAGAAAATAAAATTAAAATAATTAAAAAAACACATAACAAAGCTGCATATTTCCCACATCTATTATAAACCTAGCTTTAATTTCGTCTCGATGTTTTCAATAAATTTGATATAGTTCAGATGAAATGCTTTAACAACATATTACGAATTTCGCCTCATAAAATCTACAGCATCGTAATAAATTTCCAATTTTGGTCACATGTCTCTCAAATAAATCTACAAAACTTCTATGTACAAAAGCAATTATAAACTATAGTCATAATGTAATACCAAACCTACGAAAGTCTCTCAACACGTACTCACCCATCGCCGTCTGCGTCGCGCAGGTACCCCTCAGCGACGAGGTCGACGACCTGGCACCTGAACCAGGACGTACCGAATCACTAGGAACAATCCTGATGGACCGCGTCGTCGACTTTTGGGCTTCTGACCCATCTTGTTTAGTACCGACGAAGGAGGACTCCATCCACAGCCTGGGAGGAGGTTGTGGCGATTTGACCAGAGTAAATCTCTGATCTGTATCCGTCGCTTCACTTTCGTCCAGGCTGGCTATAATTCTAGGCACCTGGTCCACGTTAAAGTTCCGTCTGTCATCGTCCGTTGTACCAGGTGACATTATCACAGTACCGCTGTAGAGGGATTGGGTGTAGGAGTACCTATCTCGTCGCATTTCGGCTGGGCCAAACCTTTGTGGCTGGTGGTCGTAATGATCTGCATGGGAAACCTCCACACTGCTGTTGAAGAACACATTCGTGGTGTTGAGAGCGAGGGGAGAGATCCGGTTGGCATCAGCAGCCTCGCTGCCGTCTGGTCGCAATGTAGCCGCACTTGTTATCTAAATAGAATTTTACTTGAGTTAACATTTGATTGGAATACCACAAATAAGTAGTGTTTAAATATGTAGTTTCTCGTCAACAAAAACATTAAAGTTGCATTTAATAGAAGAGTGGCGAGTACTTTAAAAATTGAAGCATAAAATAGCTGTAGCTTAAACTTAGGAGATTGATACTCAGAATTCAGGAATACCATTTTTTTTATAAAGTTCTAAATTACGGGGTTTAAAAAAGTGGACGTTATTGCACCAAATCCATTGCTCTTCATCGTCGTTTATTAATACTGATAAATTAATGAAACCAATTGATTATGGTAAAAGGTGTTAAAAAGAGTTTTTAAACTCTGAATCATAAGAAGCTTTGTTTTCTTTTTTAAAAATTATACTTATTAAAGTTTTTAGCTCTTAATACTATTATTATTAAAGCGATGTTCTAGTTACTGTAATGTTTAAAATAAACTCATACAGTGAAATGGCAAGTTATATCAGATGATTAAGGTATAAAAAGTCGCTGAAAAGTAGGCCTAAATGGCTGGTGAATACGATTGTTTAACCCTTTGACGCAGATGGGACGCCGATGTCTCTTGTAAATATTTTTTCTGAAGCTCAGAAGCTGACACGCAAAAATACATTTTGTTCTCTTTTAAATTATGAAAAACAGTATAATAGCAACTAAACAAATTTGTTAGATTATCGGAATTATATGTGTATAAATTATGACATCCAAAAATTTTTTTCATTCATATTCAAAAAATTATCCACAATTAGTTTTGTAGTTTAAAGAAATTTCAATGATGAATAACTGTTTCTCTTAGAACTAAATAATCTCAAATAAGTGCAAATTTGAAAAATTATTGTTTGGTAGAGAGCCGTGTTTGGAAAATTTTACCTTTAACGCAGAAAAAGACGATGGTGTATCATGCTGTATTTCATAACCATAAATTATTAAAATGCTAAATATAATGATTTTTCATTTATTTTGACCTAAATTAATACAAAATACGAAGAAAAGTATGTTAAATTCTACGTCAAACAGTTATCTTCAAGCTACTAGCGTACGTTTGAAAAATATCTTTAAAAGAAAGGAAACAAGCGAATCGCTAATTTTCACAACAAATATACCTGAAATTAAATCTAAAACTCATTTTAAACTAGTTAAGTAAGCCATCGTGAAAGAAAAAAAATCATTTAAACACTCTTTTGGAATATTCGAAATAAGTGTCATTTTGAAAGAGAGAATTACCTGGTTTTGATGAAGGCCATAGACAAAATGATGCTCTTGAGATCCTCTTCTTGGTGAGCTTGGTCTGCTCCCTTGAAGAGGTGTTGTTGCAGTGATTGGGCTGACACCAGGACTGGACCTAGAACCACCTCCGCTGCTCGGGGTATAACCACTTGAAGCTGCTGCGGCGGCCCGCCAGCCCAAATAAGGTTGTCTGAACGAGCGATGCACACTAAGGGATGTCAATGGTGCACTGCTGGTGCTTAACCTGACGGAAAATAAAACGGGCATACATAAGTCAATCTACTATTGTTTTGAATCACAGATTCATCTATGATTCATATAAAAAAAGCACCAAAATTTTTTTTTTCTCTACAAATATTGCTTGAAACTATAAAGAAAAAATTATAACGCTCCTGAAGCTAATATTTTTTAATGCCATACAAGTACCCTTTCCATATAAAATAGTACCATATAAGAGATAGTATCCTATTTTAGTGGAATTAAAAAACAATTGCAGGCAACGATGCCATACTAAAGAACTTAGTGGAATTAAGGGGGAAAAAATGGATTCAAATAAGAGTTAGTATTCTTTTTTAATAGAAGTATAGTTCTCAAAAGATTTCATACTTAAAAATTAGTAGAATCATGCACAAAAATTTGATTTATATAATTAATATTGAAGATATCCTTTTTTTAGTAGAAGTATAATTGTAAACAAAGATTTCATGCTTAAAAATTAGTGGGATTATAGAGAACAAATTGGTAAAAGAAAATGCGACATTTCACGAGAGAAAAAAAAAGCAATACGGTTATGGCTTAGTGCCTTATAATTCGTTCAAACTTGTATGCATAATTTACGTACACGATAAATAATTCAGATCAAAAGATGAAAACGCAGTTTAGCATTTGCATTGAAAAACTGCTGGACGGCTAAACTGTTTATAATGCAGTAGAAGTATATCCTATGTTCAGAAAACTTAACTGCTTTGATTTCAAGCAGTATATATAAAAACGTTCCATTGTTTTAAAATAATCATACAAACAAAAGTAACAATTATTACTTTCCAACACTTAGTTAAAGTTCTATGTATTTCAGTCTAACATACAATGACAGTGCTTTACGCAACGCATAGGAACTATTAAGTCATTTATTCCGAAATTCTGCCTGAAATCACTAATTGAAATTCTGAAAATTCTAAGTAAATTTCAAATACAAAGTCTTACCTAGAACTGCTCCACCTAGAAAGGGATGAACTGAGGCCGTATTGGAAAGCTGCAGAGGCACATTCTCTGGGACTGAGGGATGCTGGTGATGCAGGGGTCAAGCTCTCTCTGGAGGACACTAGGGATCCCACGTACCGCCATTCACCGGAGGTAGGGGTCACCCGCTTGGGCACTATGATGTTTCGATGCGAGTAACTACTTGTCTGGGGAATGGTCAAGCTCGTTGCAGAAGGAGTGCGAGATGTACTGAAGCCTTGCCATCGCTTGCGGGATTCGCCAGCTGAACCTATCAATGGACAGATTAATTATTTCACTTTTAAGAAATTCTAGACTTGGTTCTAAATAGATCGATGGCAAACCAAGCTATTCGGATCAGGTAACTCACATATTAAAGTCTTTAGATTACTTGAACAGTTTTATTTTATGAAATAGTTTTTAATATATTCTATAACAGTATATTTTTAATATACAACAGTTTAAATATCTAACAGCATATATTAATAACAGTTTTACTTATAGATGATTTAGTCTAATGTTTACTTTCACGTTTTTTACTATTGAAAATGAATGAGAATCTACTGAAAGGTCAAATTTTATTTTAAAATTAAGGAAGAGAATATCGGTAGTATATATTTATCAGTTAAATGGGATATTAAATCTGTAAATAAAAACAAATTAAAGAAAGGAAATCGTAAGCTTCATTTTTCGAAAGATTTAGAAATAAAGTAAAAGTATTAGAAATAAATACAATAATACTTTAGAGCAACGGTTCTCAAATAATGTCACAGGGTTTCCGAGAGTTTGAATTTTTCCGTAATAATTTCCGTAACTAGTAATTATGTTTATATAAAAACAATAAACCATAATTTCATTGATAGTTTGGTTATTTTTGTGAAATTATTTAAGTAAAATGCCAGTAAAAAAAAGAAATGGCAAAGTTTATAAAAAATTGCATTAGTATTTCACGGTCAATTTATTTCTTTAAAATAAATTTACCGAATTCAAGAATAACGAATTCTAAGTGTTTATGTTTTTTCTATGAGCTCTTTTTTCGTAAACAGTAATTCAGCTAATTTTATTAATTTTTAGCTAATCGCATGCATTAAAAACAAATTCAGAACTAGACTAGATACCACTACAGGTCTGAAAATTCAACTATTTGACATAAAACCTATTATGTTAAGAATTTTATTCACAAGACGATTGTTGATAAAAAAAAAAATTATTCTCCGCATTAAATATTATCAAAATAATTGGTAATCTTTCTTTGGACAATATGTTCACGGATGCTTATATGCTTGGGGTTCCGCAAAAGAGGCTCGATCATTTAGGGTTCCGTTACCGTAAAAAATTGGGAGCCGCTGTTTTAGATCATATATGCAAAAACAAATCAAAGTGTTTAACTATTTTCCATCAATAAACTATTCAATTATTTCACTACATTATTTAAAACTGTACTCGAAAATGCGACCGCAGTTCAGACTTTGAATTGTTTGCCCAATTTTACTATTGAATTAAAATTTTTAAATAAAAATATTTATTATTAAATCTCCGAACACACAAATTTTAAAAACAAAACTAGCATATCTTGCATCAGAATACAGAGATGCAATATAAGTTTGTTTTTGTATATTATTTAGAATTTTAAAACTAAAAACATAGAATTTTAATTTTATCCCTAATTTCACTCTCTAATTATTCTACATAATTTAAAAAATAAAAAAAAATATCATTTATATAACGAATACATATAGTTTAAAAACAATACAAGTAAAGCTTTTCCTAAAATAAAGAGATGCAATGTAAGTTTATTTCAGTATAACAATTAGAATTTTTAAACTTACAAATATTTAGAACTTTAATTTTATTCCTAATTTCTCTCCCGAATTAAATTATTCTATTAATGAAATTTTTAAAAAAAAATATTCGTTACTAAAAAGCTTCGAAAATACAATTTCTGAATGACTTTCGTCAGAACAGAGAGATGCAATTTAAATTTATTTCTGTACAATAATTAGATTTTTGAAATTTACAAACATTTAGAATGTTAATTTTATCACTAACTTCATTCTCGTATTAAATTATTGCATGATGAAAAAAAAATTTTTTTTATCATAAAACTTCGCAAATAGTGTAAAAACAACAACATGACTTTCATCAGAATCGAAAGTTGCAGTGTTCCGAACACGAATGCAACCATTCCCCATCAACTAAAACAAGCAGGCAGTCGTATTTAAAGGCATTCTCTCTAAAAGCCTGCGAAAGTCATTAAAGTCAGGTGCATGACATGGTAAATAATGAGGCGTTCATTGATCTGAGTCTTTTCGAACATTTTGTCATCATCTCTCTCTCGTTCAACAGCGTTCGGGAAAATTAAAGTTGGGGTATTGCCATGAATTTTACATAAAGATGCAACAAATTGAAAACATCAAAATATTAAAATATCGCTGCACTAGCAATGATAGTAAATAAATAAAAAATAATAAATACTATAACATTTTTCCCATTGAAAATTATTATATGTTAATAAGTAGCCAATAGTAGTAGTAAAGCCCTTCTTTTTATTCCTAAGAAAGATTTAAATATTCTGCATTAATTCCTGTACTAATTCTGATAAAAAATTTTCGAATGGCTCGTTTTTTCTCTCAGTATTGTTATTTTAAAATACTTTGTCCGAAAACTACAACTGCTGTGGCCTTCATAAAAAATGTTTTTTCCACTGTTAAAGTTTAAAAATGATATTTCATTTTAGTTGTTCTTTTTATAACATTAGTAATTCCTTAGTTGTGTTATTGAATAAAGCACTGTTAATCACATCGGAAACTGCACTGAAAAAAATTAGCTAAGAACATATTTTAAATAGTTTTACTTTAATATTTTCTTCCTCAAACTGATAATAAAAATAGTTATTTATTCGTTAGAAATTTTCTATCGTAAATTTTATTACGGTTAGTTAGATAAAGTTCCTTATTATATACATATACTTCTTAGTAATTCCACTTAAACTTTCTAATCCAGATATTAATACTTATTCTACTTTATCAAATTTAGTACATTAATTACATTTCATTTACTATGAGGTTAGAAAACTATTAAAACTTTTTTCTAAAATTTTCAATATAATAACTCCCTATTATAGTGCAATTTTGGTCATACCCGATACAAAATTTAAAAAATATATATATTTAAAAACTTAAAATTTGGTTTAACAGCATTTGTAAATTAAATTATTGAGAATTTTTTTCCGGTTGCACTCAATACCAAAAACTATAAGAAATATTTACTCTTTAACCATTATTTCATCGCAATAAATTTCATCTTTTTTAGCGAAAAATATAATTTTTAGCAAAAAAATTATTCAATTCATAACGAATAAGCTATACATTATAAACAAAAAAATATCAAATATGTAAGAGAAAGTAATTTTTAATCTCGTTTTCTATGTTTAGATTATTACTACGTAACAAAAAAGAAAAAAGAAAAAGAAAAAACGGACCTCCTCGTATAACTTTAGATTTAATGATCGGATCTTCACGTTCTAGGACTCTATTTTAATGGTTCCAAGGAGTGACCTCAAATATGCTAATTAATAAGGCAGGCGATATTTTCCTGAGAAGCAAATTTTAATTATCTGCCTATTTTTAAAAAATTCCATTTCTCAGGAACTATTCACCCGATTTTGTATAAATTTTGCATTTTGCCATGTAAAATTATGTTCTTTAAATGATGCAAAAAATTGTACACCTTACGATTCAACATTTTGGAGACCATTATTAAGTAAAATAAAAAATATTTGCTGAAAGTTATTTTCTGCATGGAATTATCTTTAGATAAACGAATTTTATAATTGTGCCTGAAAATTCTTGAATTTACTTAAAAAGTCCTCGAGATATAGCGAAATAAGCAAAAGTAAAATTAATATTAAGGGGTCCAAACTATGGACCGCTTTCTTGACTAAACTATTGCGACCATATTGCAGCTACCCCCTATATTTTGGGGATCAGAAATCTGAATCCGTCGAAGAAAAGGAATGTTTATTCAGAGAAAGTACATTTTTGTGTCTGATTTCGTAACTTAAAATATCGTCTGCACTTGTTAATTAGCATATTTGAAGTCACGCCCTCGTACCATTGAGTCCCAGTACGCGAAGATCCGATCATTAATTCAAAAATTATTCAGGGTGACTCGTTTTTTTTTTTGTTTCGTAATTCCGTTAGGAAAAAAATAAGAAAAATTCATTCAAAACTAGCATGAGATAACAGCTAAAATAGTCAATTCTTTTGGACAAAAGTGAGTAATTCTTACGATTAATTCTTGTAAATAATTCTCGCTTGCAAAAGTGAACTAGTAGATACCCCTAATCGAATTAAGTTTAGGCATCATTATTATTATTATTTAATAAAAATATTTCATAATCTCCATTATTCAACTTTCATTAGTTTTATGACCTAATACATAAGAGTTCACCTAGTCTTCTTAAATATTACTTTACAAATTTAGTTCAAATATATTGAAACTCACCCCCCATAGACAGAACAGAGAATGAATTTCTAATTCGAAGGAAGACACTTAATTTGAATGACTTCATTGAGAATCTATTGCTGAAAAACCAAACAAATTAACAAATTACCTACAATTTTCTAAACTCAGGGTCGTGAGCTTTTTTTAAAAAAAAATACTTATTTAATTTAATTCAGGGTAATATTTCAAGGAACAACGGATGGGTAAACTCTTTGTTAGTCTGAAATTCTATAGTATTGAACATTAAATTGCAATATCAGATTCCGTAATGAATTGTAATAGAAAATCACATTTTTAATAGTACATTAAATTCAAAACTGCAATGTTTTTCTATAGAAACGAAATTCTAATTGAAAACTAGTTCTGAAATCAGCGAATGAGATCTAAGAAGGCTTCAAAAGAGTAATTCAATTGTTACTATGGAAACAAGATGCAAAGGTATTTTTAGAATGCTAAAATGATTATCGCCATCAATTTTAGCATCCGTACCAGTATTTCAGTTGGATTTTTCTTGTGTCTTATGACGCTATAAATTTGTGTGAACGTGAACATTTAAAATTTCTTTGTAGCAAAGCATTGAAAAATTCTTATAAAAAGTAATGTTTTTTTCCTCTTCATAATGTCAAACAGAATACAAATGTGATGCATTTTTCCCTTGAAATAACATTGAGTTTCGAGAAAAAATAACTGTATATTTCAATAACTATAATAAATTTTAATAATTTAAGTGCAAGATGTGTTTTATTTGTTTTTTTGCACCTATGTTTTTTTAATATATATATATATTTTTTTTTACATTTACAGGTAATCTGAATACCGCCAAAAATGAGGGCAGAAACTTGTAGATTTTTTTTTTTCAATTCTGATTTTCTAGAATGAAATAGATATTTTAATCATGAAAGTTTAAGAGATGTTTAAATTGCCCCCGAAAAATACCATCATTATTTTTAAATTTATTCTAACATTACAATGAAATACATATTGAACACTGTATTCATATCTAAGCAGTCAAGTGTATGAACTTTTTCTTAATGCTGGAAATTATTTACATTATATTTAATTTAAAAAAAACGAAGGATATTAAAGTCAATCGAGAACTTAATTATCGTAGCATTTCGAACACGTGCCAAAATTGATCTTACTGTTTTCGCCAATTAGAAAACCATAGACATTAAACATTCTCTTAAATAAAGGAGAAGAACTGTAGAGTTTTAAATGCAGATTAATTTAAAGTCAAATCAATACGATCTATCAAGTCGGTCAACTTTTTTACTCAATGAATTTCTTAAAAATTTGAATCAGCACCGATATATTAGCAGTAAATATCTAAAAAGTTAAATTATTTTTCTTGAAAAAAAAATCAGGGTATTAAAGTTTAGAATAAATTTTCGATAAAACATATTTTTACAGTTTAGATTAAAAAAGTATGACCGCATCGATGCGTTTTGCACCAAAAATGGATTCAATGTTTAAGAGTAACTTATATTGAATACACGTGTATCTTGAATACTTTTAATAAAATAATATTTTCAAGCAGCAATCATCATATAGCAATACACAAGGCTGCTCGGAAAAGTCTAGTATTTTTTTTAATCAGGTTGACATATTTTAAGCTTATTACAGTAAGACATATGCCTTTAGGCTAATTAGAAAACATATAATTCATTGATCAATTAATCTTTTATTTCAGGCAGCTTGTGATAATCCCAGAAGGCTTATTGTAATAGTCTTATTAAAAAAAGTTTTCCAGTAAGCTAAGCAAATTCAGCCTGAATAATTCTTCGCAAATTTCTCAATTATGCCGAAATGCCGGTGATCTTTGCAAACAGCCGAATTTTTCAATTAGTCTATCATATATTCACAAAAAAATAGTCACCCTGCAAGCACCTACTTTTAGCTGTTGTAAAATAAACAAAACCTGTTAAGGTTGATGTGGTTTTAAAAAAATATTTCTGTTTTATTGGATGAAAAATAGGATTTTTTTTTTTGTTTTTTTGTTTTTTTTAAGATTTCGATATAGTCAATTTCATATAGTTTCCCTCGCCATCTCACTTCTTGTTCTCCTGATGTTAATTTACATTTCAAAGTTGATATTTCTCAACTTCAAAGCATTAGTTATTTCATTAAGCTCTTCAATAAAGCTTTTTATTATTCATCTTGTGCACTGATATAACACCCCTTTAACCCAAACAGCAAACATATTTAAACATTCATTCGAATAAACATTGTTCATGAGTTGCTTATTAAGTAGTAAAAAATATCTGCGCTGTTCGTGTCATTATAAAATAATAACAATAAACCCTCCACCCATGAATTCATTTTAACAATGAATTCTCCGAGTCGTAATCATTATTATTTTATTCTAAACTAAATGAGCATGACGACAAAAGAAGGGTCTTTTAAGGAAGTAATTTAAACTTGGTTCCATCAAGAACAAAGTTAGTGAAGGAAGAAGTTGGTATCCAACTGATTCGATATATTGTTTATGCTGAAACAGCATTTCGAACTTTTTGTTTTCTGGGCAAGGAGATTTATGGTAGATGAGGTTCAAGCATCGGAACTAGATCTTCTCGTGGATCGCAGTAAATGTATACTATATTAACGTTTAAGAAATGTTCGATACCAACTACTTATAAGCATGTATTCAGTAATGATGATTTTAATGAGGAAACTTGGAGTTTTTTTTTTTAATAACTAGAATTTAAACCAAATTATCGTACTTAATGTATTATTAAGAGCCTTCATCATAATTTTAAGAAAGTTAACATTTTAAGGAAGTGAATTAATTAAGCTTTGATCGGATCGACAGGGCTGAACAAAAATTAGATGTAAATACGTGGCTAACGTTTTTTAAATCAATTTATGAAACAGAACAATAATTAAAAAGCGAAAAGACGATCTTTAGTTGTTGTGGGACTCGTATAATTAAAAAGTAAAATGAAGTGAAATATTTTTTCAAGACAGAAGATTTATAAAGCTAAGTTCCAAGCAAAAATTTGACATGTAGGAAAACAGTCAAGCGATATGATATCGGCAAAGAAATTTTGAAAATCAAAAAAGTTTGTGAATGTATGAATTTACAAATTTTAAATAAACCAGTAAAATATTTAGATGCCACTAAATCAGTTTTTTAACACCAATAAAAAGTATTATCGGCTCCAAAATGCGTGGAGATTATAAAAAAATTTGAATCATTTCTGTTTAATGAGAAAGAAAGCTTTTTTCCCAACAATATCTGTAATTTATAAAATCTGATTATAGACAATTAACACAATATTATTAAATAATTATTTTTGAACAGGTGAAAACGTCTTTCATTAACAGCAAAATCTGCATGACAATTAAGTTTTATATACACAAATAAATAAAATTTCAGATCTATGCAAGAAAAAATTAAATAATATTTGCTATGAACAACAATTTTTTCACCCATGCAAAAATAAATACACATATATCCATAATTCTATCAAATTTAATTGCATATAGATCTTATGATCCATAATTCTATCAAATTTAATTGCATATATCAAATTTAATTCCATACGGTCTTAATGTGATAATATAATAAGGAGCTTTGGGTAACAAGATTAAACCAACCAAGCACATAAAGGTTTGTTTTTTTAATCTAAATAAAATTGAATTCTTAAGGATTGTCAGAACTATTAAAATTTTTTAAATTTTGATTTTCAGAATTTTGAGTGTTTAACATCTTCGATTTCTGCATTTTTTGTAGATGTAATAAATTTTAAAATAACAATTTTAAGTGGTTTCAGAAGGTTTAAGCAAACAGGTGTTAAAAAAGATTATTTTTCAGAAAATATAGTTTACTTTAGAAAAATATTTACAATTGATTAAAATACCTACTTCGTCTTTTATATACGAGTTTATAACAAACAAAAATGAAAGTTAGAAAATTATAATATTTTAAAATAGCTATAGACTTTTGTTCCCAAAATATATAAAATTTCAGCTAAATCTCATTTCAATCTGATTTTTAGTAGTAATTTTGCACGAAATTTTTTTTCGTGATAAAAAAATCTATGCATTATAACTTCTTAACAAACAAACATATTTTCACTTCCCTGCTTAAAAATCAGATTAATACAATTCTCATATGAATGCCAAATTAGTGAATAATGTAATCAATAACAAAATATTAATCTATTTTCAGTTAAATTGTCATCTGAAAAAATTAAAAATTAAGAATAAATCTGGAGGGGAAATTTTGCACAAAAATATTATTGAAAGAAAATGTGTTTTAAAACAGCATTTTTTAATTTTTAACTAAAATATTCCACGCATTTTCAGAATAGAATGAATATATTGATTAATATTACAAGATAAATAAATTTGAGTCCTAATTACTAGTGATCCATTAAATGAAAATTTTGAAAAGCGGTTAATTCCAATACAATTTCTAGAACCCTTAGATTTCTAATGCAGTTTACAAAATAAATTTATAACTTTAATACTTTTTGCTGCAACTGAATTGCAGCAAAGTTTGATATGCTGCAACTGAACTTGAAATTGCAAACCACGAATTTACAATGCACGGATCATTTAATTACTGTAATACCACTACCCATTCATATGTCAACTTACATAAATGAATTTTGTCACATTATTCATAACAATGTATTTACAATAAATAAAATAATTTTTCTGACTTACCTTCGCTTCCTCGCCGCAATATGAAACCTTCTTTTGGCTTCGTGCTCCATGCGGACTGTTTGTACCAGTCAGGTATGGTTAAGTTCTGAAGTGATCGTTCGATTCGCAGCTCATGTTCGGACTTCACACGCCCCTGTCCAGCTGCAAGTCTATTTTCCGGGGGCTGTACCTTGTCCCTGTTGTCGGCGTCCAGCAAAAAGTCCATGCTTTTTGCTCGGGTTCCCAAAAAGTCACAATTTTCGACGACGATCGTACCAGTAATGGCCGAATCGCCGCCGTTAGAACTCGCCGGATCTTCCTCGTAGTCGTCGACTGTGCCAGGGCGGTGCGCGCGCACCCCCTTGGTTTCTGCGGGCCGCTTGAACCAGAAGGAGCTTCGGTCTACAATTTCTAGCTGCTCGTGCGCGAGGTTAGGCTTCGATTTGGCTTTGGCCTCCTCCAGCCGTTTGGCGCACGACGCCCAGGCGATTTCCCCTGTGCATCGACGGTAAGGCAGGCGGAGGGTGCCCTCTTTCGTGGTGGTAGAAGGCATACTCGATTGCTGGGGCGGTCCGGCATCGAATGGCGCCGGACTTGCTTCAGAACCGGACTTTTTCTTCTTTTTCAAGTGATCGATTTTACGTTTGCTAGATCGGACGGCCGCTTCGAGCGCCCCTAAATCGGGATGACTGGCGGCAAGGAGCGCTCTTTCTTCTCTTGCAGATCTTCGGAAAGCGTCGAAACGTTTCAGTCCATCAAAATCTTCATTCAAATCATTTTCTCCTTTCTGAATATTATTAGATGATTTATTTTGGTTGAGTTTTTCAAAGAAATCTTTTCGCGCGGTGGCTATTTTTCCTTTCAAACGAGCGTTCTTCAGCAGTTGTTGACTGCTCGGAGCGGTTGGAGCTACAGGAGGTTTGTGAGAAACTTTGGTAGCTTTTTCATAGCCCGTAATAAGCTCGAAAATATCTTCCTTATTCATTAACTCGGGAGTCGATTTAGCACTATTTAGAGAATTCTCAATGTAAGTTTTACTCTTGTACGAATCAATTGTTGGTCTGACTGTGGCAGTCGGTTTACCGAAAGAACGATTGTTTCTTTCAAAATTTCTCATATTGGATGGTGGGCACGATCCAGACCTAGAATCGAGATCTTTATTAACTTCTCTGGAAGCAGAAGTGCTTCGACTTCTGGCCTCGAAACGAGCAGCTCGTTCTACAACAGTTTCCGTACTAACACAAATTCTACGATAATGTCGAGATCTCTCGTTCGGTGGGAGAGATCGATTCAAATACCCACTTCTGGTGCTATGCCCAAGATAATCTTGTATTCGCTGATTCACACTTTTACTTAATCTTGCTGATAAAGGAGTTGAGGAATTCAATTGTTCGTGACACTTTCTCAAATCAGGAGTGCTTTTAGATTGTACGCTAGATGTATCGAGAATTCCTTCAGATTCAGAATTCTCACGACCGACAGAGCTACTTCTCTTATATTCAATTTTTTCGGAAGATTTGCTAATTTCGATATTCTTTGGTTGGATTTCACAACTAGTAACAACATCCGGCTTGTTGTTTAGAAGTTCAACATAATGAAACAAAATCCCATTTTGAATTACATTTTCTTCATTGATTTCATTATTATCAGATAAATTAACATTTATTAAATTGTTGCACTGTTCAATAGGTTCGAAAAATTCACCATTTGAAAGTAAATCAAAAGAATAATTTTCACTAACCTGCTCTTTAAAACTATCAGTCTCTTCTGAAGAAATAATAAAATCTGTTTCTTTTCTTTCACTAAAACTTGGTTCGTTATTCTCGTCTGATAACAGTAAATTCTTATCCTCGTTAAACTTAATTATATCTTTAATATCGTTTTCTTTAGAAATAAAAATATCGTCAATTTCAGACTGAAATTGAGAAACTGGTGGTTCCGATGCAATCCAATGTTCCGCCGTCGAATTATCAAGAAAGGCGCGACTCGAATCAGAAGACACGTGCGTTTCTTGTTCAAATTCTGATTTGACACCCGTAGCCCGAAGGGAACTGATATCATCTGTTTCTTCTTCACAACCTTCGCTCGCACCCTTTTCTTCCCCGCATGTCATTGGGTCATCGGATGAACTTCCTGTTTCGGTATGTGAAAGATTTTTGATCTCTACCATAGGTGGCGCCACGTCCTTAGCATTTACGCAACAATCGTAAAGGTGTGAATTATTCGTGTCTTCATTCATGACTTCGTCATTCATTTCAACCGGTATTGTGGAAATAAACTTATCGCTTCCCATTTTATTTACATTTTGCTCTATTGTAGTACTGTTGACCTTGCATTGTTTTTCAGACGTTTTCATTATTGTCTCTAAAGATTCTGATGGTAATGCAATTAATTTAACATTGACATTCTCAATCGTCTGCGGCTTTTCTATTTCACAATCGTTTGAATGTAACAATTCTGTTTTCTCATCTATTTGATAAAGATGAATATCGTTTGCGCTCAGCTGTTCTATTTGCTTACAATCTTTATTAGAAATATCAAAATTTAAATTTTTATCAATATAATCAGATTCTAATAACGGACTATTTAATTCAGGTTCATTTCTTTTATTGCAATTTAAGAAATCATCTTCAGTTTTAAGAAGGTCAAAACAATTATTTTTATCAATAACAATTTCCTGCTCTTTATTAAAATTGCAGACTATATTTTTATTTTGAGAGAAATATTTCATGCAACTATTTTGTGGAATAATTTTTTCATGAATTTCATCGAGATCTGAATAATTATTGGTAGAGTCAATTTGAGCAAAATTTTGATCAATTTTATTTTTGTCTAAACATTTTAATTCATTATCGCTTGCAGCGAGATTTAAATTAGACAATGAAATATTTTCTTTAATTTCTGCAGTTAAAATTTCTTGGAAGTTGTTAACTTCGACAGTAGTAGAATTTTTCAAAAATTGCGCAATAGTGTGTTCTCTTAAATTTTTAATATCGTCTTTTAATATTCTTTCCATTTCTTCTTTTGGATTTATTTTCTTTAACTCATTATCTAACAACCAAGCTGAAAACTGAGAAAGGTTTTCAGGTATTTTCCATTTTTCAGATTGCAGCCCTAATTTAAAATCATCATTGCTCGCTGGTTTTTCTAATTGTTTCGAAAATTCTTGTAAAGTTTGGGGTATTAAAAATGACTTGTCATTTTTCAAATTAGGTTTCCGCTCTGTTGATAAAGATTTCAAAGAGGTATCTAAATCACTGAGAGATTTGGATGTAACAGAAAATAATTTAGACCCTTTACGTTCTTCTAAACTATCATCATCATCGTCCTCATCATCTTCGACATAACCTGAATCATCGTGCTTCAGTTCATTACATTGACTGTCTTTTTGACGCTTTTTTCGCTTTTTAATGTCTTTAATTCCTTTCATTCCTTCATCACTGTCTGAGGACGTTAAATCTTTGGAACTGTTTCCAGAAAAATTAGATTCCCTACTTTCCGGATCAGTTGAATTATCCTCGGACAGCCTCGTCATTTTGGGGTAAGTGTTCAACAGCAACGACTGGACATCGGCATTATTTGTGCAGTCCGAATCAGCTTTAACCGAAAATAAATCGTTAATGCGTGATTTTTTAAAATTAACTTCTTTGCACAGAGGGCAATTATCGGAATTATCAGAGCATGGATTTTCAAGGCTATGAGAATCTGCTTCCGGTGTCAATGGCGACGGGAAATCATTTATTTTTATATGTTTAGATTCATTTGAATCATGCATTAATTTTTCTACCGGAAAATCTAAACTTAAACTAGCGAGTACTTCCGTTTCATTTTCACTTTGCTCGTCGCTATTGGATGAATAATCATTTAAATGATTAAAACTTTTTAATGCATCGTCTACATCGGAATCACCAGCTGTTAATTGCTGCGTGGGATGCTCGCTTGCAAACATGTCAAATTCTAAATCATCTAAATCCTCTTTTGTCGAAACATGTTCTGATTGTTTCAAAATTAAATTTTTATCCGGTGATGAATTTTGAAACGGAGGCAAAGTTACTTTAGTTTCACAGTCCCACAAACCTAACGCTTTAAAATTATGAATTTTATCATCTTTTATTCGAATGCGTGACTTTTTATCTTTAGTTTTAAATGAATTGTATAATTCTTTTAATTGTGGAGGCAGACCGTCATCGCTATCATCAGAAATTGTTTGTTCACTTTTTGGAATTTCATTATCATTGGAAGGAAAAAGTTGCAAATTTGTTTGGTGCTGCCATCTAGTGAGAGGACTCGTAGCTTCCTGAACATGTTGCAAATCGGTGTGGTGCTGCCACCTACTGAGAGAACCTCGCATATCCTGAATTTCCTCATCACTGGATTGTTCGTAATCGGATAACGATCTGCGGTTATTGTTCAAGGGTGAAGAATCGAATGGTGCTACACGCCGGACATCTGTTGTCATTGTTGGGCAACAGGCTTCCGCTCCCGAAGTTATCTTTTCCGGTGCGGGTTCGTGATCGCTTAACCAGCTGGAACCGAAAGCAATGTCTCCATTGATAGGAGAAAACATAGCTTCTGGTTCGCTATCACTGCTTGAAACTTTTGTATCAGTATTTTCACTTATAATACAATTTTCCTCATTAAATCGCGGACAATTCTCAAGTTTTGCATCATCGTCAAAACCTATTCTAAAACAACGCATATTTTTATCTTTTGATGAAACTGATACTTCTTCCGTTATTTTAACTATATCATTTTTAATTTCGGTACGATTAAAAGTAGAATAACTTTCTGCTGGCAAAAAGTAATCTTTAAAATCATCACTGAAGCAAAGTGATTCATAGTTTTGTCCGGAAAATGTTGAATCAATTGCGACGGATGATGGTACTAAACAAAGATCATCCTCCGAACCTAATGTTACTAAAGAATTCTCCTGATTTCTCATGTGACCTTCATTAGAAAATTCCATTTTTATAAATGGATTGCTCTCTCTTTCTGTCTCTAAGATTTTCAAATCACAATCATTATTTTTATCGTAAGAATCAGGACTAACTAAAGGACTGTCTGTTTTAACATCAGAAATCCACAAAGAATCAAAATCAGTTTTTGTCTTGTTAGATAAATTTAAAGAACTTACCTGCATATCAGGTTTTTCATTTTTAAATAAATTGGTATCCATTGCGTTTGTATCACTGAATATATCCTTTGAGTTAGCAGCTGACGTTGCTGCATCGTCTACACACAAAACATCACAATTTTCTTCCAGTTGAGATACCGAAGAATTATTCGAGCTGATTTCACGGAACAGTGACTCGGAACATATTTCTTTATCACTTCGAGTAAGGGATTGGTTCGAATTATTAAAAACACGGTTGTCCTCAAAAATGTTATCCAAAACTGTCAGCGATGATTCCAAGGCGGATTTCCCTGCATCTCCATTCACCGCAAGATTTGTTTTGTAGTCACGTAGCTTTTCATCTTGATTCGATCCACTCATTTCCACCAAGTTGAAATTGGCAGAATGATTTTCACCAGCGTTTCCGGATGTTTGCATTTCCACGACTGTGACTCGATCATCGTCTGATTCATCCCACGATCCCCATCCTAAGGATGTTTCATCGCACTCGCTCGGACTCCGCAGATCATCGGACGTTTCTTCGACGATGGTCTCCAGAAATCCTCTCACGGCGATAGGATCGCAGATCATACTTTCAGAAGCAGTTATAATAGCTGGTGGGGGGCCGGAAGATAACAGCATCTCAGGGTGTCCACTTTGCATGTAGAGCAAAAGCATCTGCCTTTCCTCTTCCGTGATTGCATCTTCTGGGTACTTAGGAAGCTCTACTGCCGTATGCACAAAAGAATAATCTCCACTATTTCCACCACTGTCCCACGTAAAGAATGAATCAGATTGAGACTCCGGTTGTAAGGATAGAGTATCTTTTGAGGTATCCATACCTCTTGCAGATTCTGCCGATAAATTGGTTGCAACCGGCACGTCGTTTAACGGGGACACACCATTACCGTTATCATCGGCAATGTTTGACCGGCGTAGGCGCGGTTCTTTTTGGCTAGCAGAACCGGTGTAGGTCAAGTGATTCGTTGCGTCATCGTAATTTTGAAAATTTTTTATTGTTTCTAATAATTCCAAGGAATTTCGTGAATCAGTTTTGCCAGGTATCGAATATTCCACTGAGAGGGAGTTTTTGAATGATATTTTGCGCTTACTCCGATTCCAACGCAGCAAAATGAAACCGAAAGACAAAACGAAAAGCAGAACTAATTCGAAACAAGTTGTGGTACACAAGAGCGATAGGAAGGGATCTTCTGCTGTCGAATGTGTTGAACTCGATGCCGCTCCCCCAACTGAGTTCGTCACACCTTTCCCCATTACCGGGTGCTCTCAACCAATCAGGAGTTCCTCTTTACCTGGATGAACCGGTTGCGTTGGAAGTTTGAGTTTGAGATCGAAAAAAAAAAGTGTTGGTTGTGTTTTTTAGTAGGAGACGGGAAGTGAGGAGAGCTGATTTTTCTCTAAATAATCCGATAGGAGAAGCTTCTTTTTCTTAATTTTTTTCTTTTCTTATTTCATTCTTCTTTTTGTTCTTTCATCTGCGCTTCGATACACATGAGGCGAAAGATTTTTCTGAAGTTCGTTGAATGCATTTGTTGTTTTTGGTACTGTAAACCTAGAATTAATAAATTAAAATGAAATGAGAAATCGTTTCGAAATACAAAATTATCTCTCAAAATTGAACTAAGAAATTTTGTTTATTCATAAAAAAAAATTTAAAAAAAAACAATCAAGTGTATTCAGGAGATTAAAATTGGAAAATTTTTCATTAACAATGTGACCTACATTTAAACAATAGTTCTTTTTTGAAATATTTATTTTTTTTCTTTTTATTTTGAAGGAATTACTGGAAAGCGATAAAACAATTCCTTTGTGACTGGGAATAACAATAAAAAAATAATTTAAGATAATTAAAAAATAACAATAAAAAAATTATTTAAAATAATTAATAACTTTCATTTTCTATTATTTCAATAAAAGTTATTTTATTTCCGTTAAAAAAATATTCATTAATTAAATTTTGCTCTTTTTTGTATAATGGTAAAAAAAAGTAGTTTCCACTAGTCTTTAATTTCAATTACTTATTTGCCTCAGTTCAATTTGAAATAGTTTTTACTGATTACAGTAGATTTAATACTATATCTAATGTATAGGTTCAATATTGTAAAATAACTTATGAAATTAAACTTACAATTTTTAAATTTAATTATTCTTTTATATCAGAAAAGAAAATTAGTATTAACCATATATTGAGTTACTTAAGCATCATAATCAAATAATAACAAAAAAAAATTCTTAGATAATATATATATCTATACATATTTTGATTTGCAGTACCCCTATGAAAAACATTCATTATTTGATGAGACAAGCTTGATAAAATTTTTAACGTCATGTCTTAATTTTAGAACAAGATTTTGAGAAAATAATGATATGGGTTATAGTTATAAAAACTAAATTTATTGTAATACGAAGTAATATATTGAAACATCTTTTGTCCAAACATTATACATCACAAATCGAGTCAGATGGCATGGTTACAGGATTTAGAGATGAGATATTTTTTCATTTAACTATCTAACAATATTATTATAGTTTGAAGCAGAATTACTCAGTTGGGATAATTTTGTTTACGATTTCACCATGAATGCTCTTTTTTTTCTCCTTTTTCAATTTTCTGTTATAAGATTTCCTATTTTAAATTAAATATAAAGGTTTTAGCGTGATTTTTTTTTCTTCTGTAACTCATTAGTGCGATGAGAACAATCGTTGCATCCAACAATTAACCTTTTCTTTTTAAAAAAAAACTTAATTGGTTGGAATTTAAGTATTTAAAACTTTTTGCAGTGTTGTAATAGAAGTACAAGAGAGGTCAATTTAAATAATTCGCTTTGCATTAAAAAACGTAAGCTGCCTTATTAGCTTAAATTTCATAACAGCATTTATAACTTTCCACTTTCCGTTTAAGTCACAGAAATTGATTATTTAAACAGTAGATAATGCAAAATAGACAATTTTAAAAGCAATTATTACAGTAAAATTATTAGAGAAAAATTTAAATCCTCATCAATTTTTACACTCTGTTGAGCCGAGAACAGATAACAATTAAGAAAAGTTTTCAAGGGAATGACTCGTAGAAAAATTTAATTTCACCTAATATTTTAGCAGCATTTTAGAGAGATGTTTTGGGGACATTCAGAAATAATTTTGAGCTGCAGTCATTAGTTTTAAAGTGGAATAGTAGAAGAGTTTTTTAGTTTTGAATTATTTCGCTACAAGCAATATTTTAATTCTGCCAAAAGTTGCAATTAAAAATTTTTTATGTAGCATAAATAATTAATCAATAGTAACAAATTGAAAATAATAATAAATTTTCGGCTTACGCGGGAAAAAAAATCTTTAGATCACATCAAATTCAATATCAGGACAATATTTTGTTGCAAATTTTACAGCATTCGCTAAACTTCTTTTTTCATAAATTTCGAAACTAGCAAGATAAATCGGAACGTGTGTCAAACAATTTTGATTATGTGCAAAAAGCACCTATTTAGATACCAGGGGTCTGTCCAGACATTTTGTGAAAGGTCTTGTTTTTGTAAAATTGTGATAAAACTATTCATAATTTGTGAATGTAAAATAAGCGTTAAGTCACATTCTTTCAACTAGGATCCCGCTTTTGTGAATTCGTGCAAATAGGGTCCTGTTTTTGCAAAAATTTCTAAAAACCTTTTCAAGAAGTTTTTAAATTGTAAATAGATACAAGATTCTGCGCAACAATTGCTGCTACTAAATTAGAGATGCAGCATACAAATATTGGGTATTTAGCCTATACTGCTCAACACAGAATATTCATTTCGGCCGAATAATGGAAACAAAATCACTCACATTTTTAATAATTTCAATTGACATATTTTAACTAACACAACTTAGTAATGTATCACCTTTAATGTGTGGCGCATCAAGTAAACTTAAACAATTCTTAAATTTATAATATTTTGCTTAATATTTAACACAATATTCAATTAATTAATTTTATAAACAAATATGAATTGAAGAATTATTTATTTACAAAAAAAATAAGGTTTAATATTAATAAGAATGCACACACGATGTTTGTAAAAGTAAAAATATTTTCTTAGAATACTAAATTTAGTTTGTCTCGAACCGTCTTTCTTCCCCCCACCCCCCGGGAAGGGTTTATTCGATTAGCAAAACAATAATGAAGATAAACAAATTTGTGAAGGGACCGATTAAAAGATAAATTATTTTTGTGAAGGGTCCGTTTTTATGAAAAGATATTTTGAGAAGGGTCCGTTAATGGACCCAAATTTCGTCTGGACAGACCCCTGGATAAAGATAATATGGATAATAAAGATAATGCACACTAAATTTTACAAAAAAAAGTTGAGTTTTATGAAACAAATAAAAGAAGGGTAAAAAACTACTTACTCACAAAAATATCACATTTATTGCAGTTTTTAGCTAGTTTTAGCTTTAATTTTAAAAAATGAGTATAATATGTCAACTAATAGTACTAAAATTATTTAAAATAGTAAAATATNTTTTTTTTTTTGATTTACAGTACCCTTATGACAGACATTCATTATTTGATGAGACAAGCTTGATAAAAATTTTAAACGTCTTTTTTTAATTTTAGAACAAGATTTTGGGAAAATAATGATGTGAGTTATAGTTATTAAAACTAAATTTATTGTAATACGAAGTAATTTATAGAAACATCTTTTGTCCAAACATTATGCATCACAAATCAAGTCAGACCGCATGGTTACAGGATTTAGAGATGAGATAAAAAAAATTTCATTTAACTATTTAACTTTAACTATATTATTATAGTTTGAAGCAGAATTATTCAGTTGGGATAATTTTGTTTACGATTTCACCATGAATGCTCTTTCCTTTCTTCTTTTTTAATTTTTATTATAAGATTTCATATTTTAAACTATATATAAAGGTTTTAACGTGTGTTTTTTTCTTTTGTGACTCATTAGTGCGATGAGAACAGTCGTATCAGACTGTTGCATCGAATAATTAACCTTTCTTGTTTAAAAAAAACTTAATTGCTTAGAATTTAAGTATTTAAAACTTTTTGCAGTGTTGTAATAGAAGTACTACAAGAGAGGTCTATTTAAATAATTCGCTTTGCATTAAAATGCGTAAGCTGTCTTATTAGCTTAAATTTCATAATTTCATTTATAACTTTCCACTTTCCATTTAAGTTAAAAAAATAATTATTTAAGCAGTAGATAACGCAAAATAGACAATTTTAAAAGCAATTATTATAACAAAATTATTATAGAAAAATTTTAATCCTCATAAATTTTTACAATCTGTTGAGCTCCGAACAGATAACAGTTAAGAAAAGTTTTCAAGGAAATGACTCGTAAAAAAATTTAATTTCACCGAATATTTCAACAACATTTTAGAGAGATGTTTTGGGGGCATTCAGGAATAATTTTGAGCTGCAATTTTCATTAGTTTTAAAGCGGAACAGTAGAAGAGTTATCAATTATTTCGTTACAAGCAATATTTTAATTCTGCCAAAAGTTGCAAAATTTTTATGCAGCATAAATAATTAATCAATGATAAAAGCTTGAAAATAATAATAGATTTGCGACTTGCGCAGGAAAAAAATCTTTAGAGCACATCAAATTCAATACCGGGACAATATGTATTTTGTTGCACATTTTACAACATTCACTAAACCTTTTTGTTTATAAATTTCGAAACTACCAAGATAAATCGGAACATGTGTCAATCAATTTTGATTTTGTGCAAAAAGTGCCTACTTAGATACCAGGGGTCTGTCCAGACATTTTGTGAAAGGTCCTGTTTTTGTAAAATTGTGAAAAAACTATTCATAATTTGTGAATGTAAAATAAGCGTTAAGTCACATTCTTTAAACTAGGATCCTGCTTTTATGAATTTGTGCAAATAGGGTCCTGTTATTGCAAAATTGCTAAAAACCTTTTCAAGAAGTTTTTAAATTGTTAATAGATGTAAGATTCTGCTCAATAATTGCTGTTACTAAATTAGAGATGCAGCATACAAATATTGGGTATTTAGCCTATACTGCTCAACACAGAATATTCATTTCGGACGAATAATGGAAACAAAATCACTCACATTTTTAATAATTTCAATTAACATATTTTAAATAACACAACTTAGTAATGTATCTCCTATAATGTTTTACGCATTAAGTAAACTTAAACAATTCTTAAATGTATAATATTTTACTTAAAAAATTGCCAGAAATTAATTTTTATTTACATAATATTCAATTAATTAATTTTATGAATAAATATAAATTGATCAATTATTTATTTACAAAAAAAATTATGATTTAATATTAATAAGAATGCACGATGTTTGTAAAAGTAGAAATATTTTCTTAGAATACTACATTTGGAATTTAAACTTAAGGAAACTTAGCTTGTCTCATACCATCTTTCTTCCCCACCTCCCGGGAAGGGTTTATTCGATTAACAAAACAATAATGAAGACAAACAAATTTGTGAAGGGTTCGATTAAGAGATAAATTACTTTTGTGAAGGGTCCGTTTTTATAAAAAGATATTTTGTGAAGGGTCCGTTA